CAACGAACTTGCTTGTGCTGGGCTCTGATCATCGCACGCTGGGCTCTGATTTTGTAAACATCAGAAAGTTTTGCGAGATCGTGTTTTCAGGTCACGCTATGTTTAGCGGGAGCTCGCGTGGCCACTTTAATGCATGCTTTGAAGCGCGCGCCAGTAGCGGTAGCGAGCCTTGAAAAACGACGTACTAAAACTCCTTATTAAGGCGCGTTCACACCGGCGATGTAAAGCAGCCGCGCGATGCCACTAGATCGCATTGCAAATAAATTAGATGGTCACACTGGCGTGCGCGATGAGCGAGTCCAACGCCTTCGTTGGCGAGTCGCTTCTCGAAAACTCTCGCTACGAACGCCGTTGATTGACCCAGCCGCTCCGCGACTAGATCGAATCGCAAAAAGTCGGGTCAGGTAGCGACTGCTCAAATCGCGTCGCTTTTTGACCATGGTCGCTTTTCCGGTGAAAGTTATGGTGCGCCTCGATCGCATCGCCGGTGTGAACGCGTCTGTAAAACTGACCGTTTCGATATTTGTTCTGCTCTACTCTACATTTACCCAACATTTACACACGCGTAACACACAATACGCCACATAGGTTGTTCAAAAAGAACATATAGCAGTTTTTTTTTAGTTTTTTTTTTTACTGCAAATGTAAATTGCTCATTGCCGAACGCTCACCCAAGTGTAGCGCTATTGGTCTCGGCCAGACGCCAAAGTTGCATAGCTTGCCGTTATCCGATCCAAACGTTATAAGCTATTATCGGAAATGTTTATTGAGAAAATGATGGCGGCCGACGAAGACCACGAATGCATGTTGATCAATGATGTCGGCTACCGGGAACCAGGGGCGTGAATACAGGAGCAGGATGCGGCATATCCTGGGCGCTGACATCGGAGTGAAAGAACGAGAAAGAGAGCGACAGAGAGAGAAAATATACTTTATTGAGGTCATCGAGGATGACTTCGGGTGTTCACCCTGGTGTGGTCCTATGTCCGGGGTCCCATTGTACGCGGAAGACCAGCTGGCGCTGATCTTCCGCGTCCGAGGCTCTGATGGCAGTCTCCCAGGAATTTGAGGCGGTTTTGAAGCCGTGCTGCATCTTGTAATTTTGGATGTTTCGGGCAAGTCAGGACCATGTGTAGATGGTGCCTCGGTCCTGTTGACAGTTGGGGCATGTGGGTGAGGGGTAGAGCTGGGGGTAAAGCAGGTTGAGTCCGGATGGTGTTTGGTAAGAGTTGGTTTGAAGCAGGCGCCACTTGACTTGTTCTGCTTTGTCAAGCTTATGATGAGGTGGTGGTAGAGTGCGCCGTTGCTCCCGATAGTAAGTGGTGATGCTCTTGTAAATGGTGAGTGGGGTGAGTTGGTCCGTTTGCTGATCTGGGTGTTCGTCCCCTGAAACCATGGGACGGGCGTCAGCTTCTTCGCGTGTCAAGTGATGGGCTCGAGCATTACCCCTCACTTCGGTCTCAGTATGGGACGGAGTCCAGATGATGCTGATGGTCCGCTTCCCTTCACGTGGTTGGTGGGTGTCGAGGATCTGGTGTGCCTCCGGGCAAATGAGACCACATAGGTATGCCCGGCAGGCGTCTTGAGAGTCTGTGATTATGTAACGGGGGTACTGGATAATGGCCAGAGCAATAGCTAACTGCTCCCCTATCGTGATTTCGTCTCCTATAGTTGTGTGTAGAGCGGTAATTTGTGGGGTATCTTGATCATTGCATGCCACGGCTACCACTTCACCGGCGCTAACTAGGGCTGCGTTTTTGTATGCTACGCTGTTAGGGGTTTTGTTTTAAAGCATTTTGTTGAGCGCTTTGGCACGTGCTTCTTGCCTTCCCTTGTGCTTCGTGTGGTGCATGTTCTTGGGAAGTGGGCGGACGTGTATAAGGGACCTCCAAGCGGGTGGTGTTTTCCTGGACTCTTTTTCAACATAGATGGGCGTGAGATTCAGTTGGGAGAGGATGGCCCTTTCTGGAGGTGTTTTGCCAAGTCTGAATTGTTGGTTGACGCGGTGGGCCTCAACCAGTTCTGTGAGCGTGTTGTGGGCGCCCATCTCCATGAGTTTGTGTTGTGGGCGCCCATCTCCATGAGTTTCTGCGTGGATGGCGAGGCTGGAAGATGTAGGGCCGTTTTGGTGACTTTTCGGATGGTAGTTACCAATTCGGCTTGTTCCGTTTTGAGGAGATTCATGTAGAAAGCCACGCAGACTACGAGGGATATGGCGAAGGCTTGCACCAGGCGAAGGGTGTCTGCTTCCGTCATTCTCTTATGTCCAGTGGTCACTCTTCGAATCATATGGCCTAGTTGGTCCAATTGTTGCTTGAGCAGGTGGATTTGATGAGTCCATCTGTCGTTGGCTTGTATGGGGAGGCCCAGGAGTCGGACTGGCTTGTCTGTCGAGTATATCTTTTGGCCTTCTATGGTGAGGTAGTTAGACTGTCGGGTCTTGAGAGTTTCCTCTCTTTATAAGGAGTAGTTCTGTCTTCTGGGGTGCACATCTGAGGCCCATGGTGTGCACATGTTTGGTAATAATGTCTGCGGCTTCCTGGAGTGTATCTTAGAGCTTGCTCAGGGAGTCCGGTTTGGGGGTCCATAAGGTAATGTCGTCTGTGTAGAAGGCGTCCTTGAGATTTCGGATGTGTTGCAGTTTATGCGGTAGGTGGAGAAGCGTGAGATTGAAGAGGAGTTGAGAGATGACTGCCCCTTGTGGGGTGCCCCTGTCACGGATCTGGAAGGTGTCCGACTCCAAGTCACCTATATTGATTTGTGTTGTGCGTCCCGTTAAGAATGATCGAATGTAGTTGTAGGCGCCAAGAGTGGAGAAAGAAAGCCGACGAAAGGTTAGGCGTGCTCGTTCTGTTGCGACGAGCTGAAGTGTTTCGAGCGTTTCTCAACTTTATTTAGTTTCGTACATTGCTCGGCTCCGGCATTTTTTCTTGCGAAGTAAGCTAGAAAAGAACAAGGTACTGACCTTACAGGTGATATTTTGCTGCTTCTTTGCGCACATGAAGGCGTCGCCAGCGATGTGGGCTCATCGGGACCGATGCTGTTCCCAAGCGACCCCAATACATTGAAACATTTCCTCGAGGTTATATATTAACTCTATGCCGGGAACAAGCCCCATTTTCTCGTTAAACACTTCCGAAAATTGCGTATAACGTTTGAATCGGATAACGGCAAGCTCTGAAACTGTGGCAACTGATCCTAACCACTTGCCCTACATTTGGGCGGAGACAGCGTTCTGCGATACCTAAGCTTTTTTGTCTTTTTCTTTTTTTTCTTCTTTTTTTTCTCTTCTAAACAACTTTTAGAGCGACAGACAGTACGCCCAGTATTCCCTCTACGCTGCACACCTTTGTTTTTACCTCTCAACCATTTTTCATATTCGCCATTTTCATAACGAGGCATGATTCCGTATTCCGGTTCCGACTTCTCGCGAATTTGCTAAGACGCGCTTACACAGGCGAGCAAATAACCTACATGAACGAAGGGGAAAAAACGGGCAGATATTAAAACGGCTGAATTTCCATTATATATATATAGCATTCTTGTTGTCTCTTTAATTCCTTTTTTTATCGCAGTGATCCTAGGTAAAATAACCTGCCGATTACGTGTTTTTTTTTGTTTTTTTTTTTTGTCTATGCAAGTTGGTTTTAATATCCAGTGTTTCAAGATTATCTTATGGTTCGAGGTATATAGTAACAAAATATTTATAAAAAAAATAAATTCGCGACGAGCGCGTCGGTAATAGTCAGCTTAGATAATCATTTCCCTATGTTAACGAAGAAACTTAAACACCCATTTTTCGCCTTTATTTTTTCCCCTACAAAATCGCTTAGTCGCACAGTACCCGTCGTGGAAATGGTGGCATCGAACCGGGTGTCCGTTCAACAAAATTATATATATATATATATATATATATATATAGAGAGAGAGAGAGAGAGAGAGAAAGAGAGAGCTGGAATTGCTTCTTTCTGTGACATTTGACCCTCGCTGAAATATAGTTATATTCTCACTATTTGCTCCTGCCAAGTTACTTGGAGACTTTTTTTTTCTTTTTCCATGACTATTTTTTTTTTGCTAGTTTCCACCTTTTTTTTTTTTCTCTCTTTAAAAAAACGAACCAAAAAAATAAGCGATTTACCGAATTTCGTAGCTATACTTCGATGTCTCCATTCCTCAGCGTTGGCCCGTTCGTGGCAGTCCTTTTCGTAGCAAGGAAAAAATATCGAGCCGTCAAGCTAGGCGCTCGTTTTTGCTTGAAGATAAATGCCGTGGTACTCGAAGCAGTTTCGCTTACTTTCGCTGGCCGTATGTTGGCCGCCTTATCTAATTGCTCCATCATTCATCATCTGACATTTACTTCATTTTTCGCGCGCCAACCTGGAACTGTCGATTTCCTATTTTGGGCGAAAGAGGCAGAAATGCTGATGACTAAGATAAACAAAATTGCAAGTGGCGTAAAACGTCTAACGTGGCTCTTGATAAAGCGTCCTGTGGCGCAGTGACAATTCTTGATAGTGTTTTCTTTTATGTTTACTGTGTCTTTTTATCTATATATTTCAACGCCTCTGAGTACACTTATTGACAAATGTCTAGAAATGTTGCAGTCACATCGCCGCTAATCTTTAGCGGGGTATCTGAACCTGACATCCGACTTGTGAGCAGAATTTGTTGCATACATGTATGCTTGCTTGTGTGCGTTTTTTTTTTTATATAGCACAGTTGTTTTTGTAGTTTTTGTCCATTCAGCCCGTGCCAGTGTCCCTCTATTCTGCCGAGGGAAATTCCAGCCGGTTCTTATAATAATGTAACGAACAACGTGAAAAAGCGTAATGACGCGCAAGCGAAACTCGAAAGTCTCGAAAGCAACGTCGAAAGTATTCGACGTTACTCGCCAGAGGCGCTGGCCAAAGTTGAGAGCTACAGGTCTATATGTTTCTCGACGACTGCTTGAAGCGTCTTCGCGTGGAAGCTCATCCACGGTCTACCTTCCTGTCTCGCAGAAACGGCGCAGCAAGCGGAAGAGTCTGTGCCAGTTCCGCGAGATCCTGCGCCACAGCTACTCGACCTTCGAGTCGGTCTTCAACCCGCACTGGTACATCGGCTTCAACCGCACGGGCCACCCGATCCAGGGCCCCAACGTTCGCTCCCGGAAGTGGAAGTGTGCCATGTTCCAGAAGCGCGAGTTCCGATCCGCGCCACCGCAGCCCTTTGACAAGGTGTCCCAGGACGAGTGGGCCAAGTACTTCGAGGCCCCCAAGGCGGCCAACAGCTGACGGCCGCTCGGCGACGCATTTCGGCTCCCGCTAGCCTGGTCCACGCCGCGAGCTCCGCGACCAGCTCTCCAAGAACGCCATGGACCTCCGGGCTGAACCCCCGGCTCAGGACTGTCTCGCCCGAGCAGGCGCCGGGACGCAGCTCCCTCCCTTAACCCTGCATCCGGTGGGCGCCCACTGCACCCTCTTCCGACACTAACATTATCGCATCTGTGTGTATATACGCATCCCCTTTCTTCGCTTTCTTTGATTCTTCACGAGTGTACTGGTAATTAGTGAACCTAGGAAGAGACGCACTTTTACGCTAAGGTTCGCACGGCATCCCGAACGCCTTAACCTGCCTTAACGTGAGAGGTTTCCCGCAGTCTCGTAAGCTGGAGAGCTGGACTCTGCGGAGGGACTAAGAAACTGGTTCGAGCTTTCGCCTTATTTATTCAACAGGTGCTGCAAAGTTGGCCTCCAAACACTGTAACGTGAGCAACCCTTCGAAGGATTCAAGGTTTAGAAGGTGTGACATGGAGGGGGGGGGGGGGGGGGGGGTGGACCTCGCTTCATCCTGTTGTGAAGATGACTTCCAACTTTGCCATTAAGAGAGAAAAGTTATTGTGAGCGCCACGCCACTCCTATCTACGCTGACCGAGGAGGCTTTTTTTGGCATATCATCTAACCTTTTCAGAGAGCCTGGCGTGTTGCAGTGAACTCTCGACACACAGGCCTGTTGCGCAGGAACCGTTTTAGGAGCCCTGCGTTGTAACGCGCTGGTCGCGTCTCTCTATGCTCGCATGCATGCACTTTCTCATACGATTCGAGCTTGTTCAGCGCGAACATGGGACTCGTGAGTCTCGCGCTGGTCTGTTGCCGTCGTGATGCGTAAGGTTGAGCTCAGCTGCAAAGCCGAACCCCTTTGCTGGATGTATTTGGTAAATATCAGACTCATGCTTTCGACCGGGCCAATTTTACGAATTGAAACTGTAGCTCTTCAATGAGGGGGTGTTACTACAGAGGTCGGCTTTGAAGAACGCCAGTAGCATTCACCGAGACTTTACTGAAAAGTGCGGCAAAGACGCACTCTTCGGCGTCAATACGTCCTGTCAATCGGCTTACGAGGTAGCGAAACAATGTCTCACGGGTTTAGATATGCTCGTTTTTTCTACTCCAATTTTGAGACAGTTACAGCTGTTAGGGATGCAGTGTAAACAGCGTTGAAATATGATGCCCTAAGACCCCATGGGAATGTACAGTAGCCGTCACATTTTGCTCTTCGTATTTCATCCGATGATGCAGAGTGTAAGCGAATTTGCATTTCTTATGTCGACTGGCGCAAAGTAACCTCGCCGAAGTAGACATCAGCGATCCATCGAGTTCTTTCGCTGGCTGTTTACTGGGTGCGCGCTCGCGTGCAGGTAGAAATCATTCCGTTCACCTCAGGTGCTTTTTTTTTTCTCTTTCCGAAGTGTAACAAACTGTATATATGTACACACACGCAGTATTTATTTCAAGTACATTGTAAAGAAAATGTATGTGAAGTAAGAGATAAAGTACTGCCGCCGCGAATGCCAGATTTTTCCGGTTGTGTTTCATCGCGTTTTTGTTCTCTGTTACTGCATAATGTTACTGTATTGTTGTTGTGTTTTTTTTTTAAATATATTATTGTGCATCTGGTATAAATATTAGGAAATTGCGGTAGTCACTCTTCTCGGGCCAGCAGTGTCATGGGTTCTAGGGGCTTTACGCCTTCTCAACTGCTTGTCCTAGCGACAAAATATATGGACGCAGGAGTCTGTTGAGGTGTACCGCGCCCCGGCTACCTGTTCGCTAATACATAACGCTGGGCGCTTTCTCACATCCTCCTGAGGAGCGGCATTTTTTTCGTGCGATGTCGTGTCTCGAGTCCCACCAAAGCTCTGCTCGCGAATGTGCCACCTTCTCTCCAGGCTATCAAATGGGACCACTCGCTTTTTGGTGGCTTTGTTCCCGTGCTTGTGTTCAGCTGCTCAGGTCTTGTGAAGTCATTCGCCGGTCGATCGGGGCACGTGTCGTTGGCTGTTTTAGAGCTAAGAAAAGATAGGAGACCAGCGATCCATCAACGGCTGCTAGATTTACTTCGACGCGTTTGCGAAGATTCTTTCGGCGTGTGTGCGTCGGCGATTCTCCTGCCAAACGCCTTGGCCGCACTCGTCTTGCCCCGCCCTCTGATAGCATTTTTGTTTTTGTTTTCTCACATCAGGCTACTTTTTAGAGACGTTAGTTGCGTTGGTGCATATTGAATGCATTTAACGATGTATTATATTTTGGGACAATTTTGCTACCCGTAAATCTCGCGAAATTGATTGTGTGGAGATGATGACGCGTGAAACCTCGAGGATATTCAAAATGCAAGATTGGAGACCGTCTTTTCATTTTCACGGAACACTCATATGCACCTCTTCAGTCGGCCTTCAGAACTCAGTCTTAAAAAGAAAGAAAAGAAAAAATAATTAACTTTGGTTTGCGTGAAGCCAAGACCTCCATGGCATTATACATTCAGCATAGAAAACAAGTTCATTAGCGATTATCAAGACAACAACCGAACTCCTCTAAGATAGCCATGATATTGTAGCGTCCGAAAAACGCAACTGTCGGACGTTGCAAAAACAGCCGAAATCAATGCTAAAAAATTATTTGCAATTCCTGCCAATCATTTTTTTTTTAACCTAAATGTTTTTGCGCGGAGATGGCAGCGATATTTGCATTTACGGCGAGTTGTATTACTCGAGATCGTCGGTGAACGCGCTCGCTTTCAGGAAACGGTCAGGTGTGAACAAAAACAAACGAACGCCGAAAACCAAAATAAAGAAAAGCGAGACTTCGATGACCCGGTGTATTCGTCTTATCAAGGTGGCTGTGGGGTCCTTACTAGATGGACTAGTTTAAGGTACGAAACAAGGGTCTACTTGTCTTCCTTTAAATAAAAGAAACAAAAGGGGGAAAAAATGATGTCCTCGTTTATCCTCTTTGTCTCTTTTGCCTGTAGGTTCGTGCACGCGTCCTCCTCCCCAGACAAAATTATTTTCCCGTTTGATATGAACAGGCGTGACGTGATGCTCGAGCGTGCTCCTCGGTTTGTGGGGTCACATTGGTGTTGCCGAGTGCTTTTGCAAAAAAAAAAAAGCTAGGAGTGGAGTGAAGGCTGTTACGCGAGCGCTTTGCTTGTATTGTGTCTTGACTGCCCGCCAAGTTGCTAGCTTATCCTTTATATTATGACATGGTTGTTCCTGTGTCGGTTTATACAAGCTCCGTAAAAAATCGGAAATCCCTGGGCGTGTTCCCATTTAAATGGATGCACCATTGGTCTACTAGTTTGAGTACGCTTTCGACGGATGTGACCTTTCAATTGTAATTCACGATTACCTACGCAGCAAGCACGTGTCGCCGGTAATAGTCGTCATCATAGATTATATATTGTTAGTTTCCCAGCATCTGTATGTGGGCATAGGAGCGCGTGTTTTGCGATGTCCCGTTCTGTAACAGCAACAAAAGAATGCGTTTTTTTTTGTTTTTGTTTTTTTCGGGAATTTGAGGGCTTAGTTTTTTCTGCAGATCTTATGTTGCAACATACTGTGTGTTTCTGAGGCGTTCGCAGATAAATTTCGTTCGCTCCGCCATCGAAGAGTGATTATGTCATCCGTTGCTTGCGTGAATTGTCGCAAACTTCCGAGATGTCATCGACCTCGCACGGCGCATGCCTGATGGTGGGACGGGATACTCGCATTCCATTTAGCGAGAGGTCTTTGTTGGTCGGCGTATGTGCGACATGGTGACTTCAGTATGCAGTGAAGCTTGCAATTGCACCGTGTTGCCCACGCAATCAGAGACGCAGAATTCCCTGTTAACATATATTTGTTTCGTAAAACTATTTCAATTATATTCCATTGCCCACCATATCCGATTGGGGGAAATAAAACGGAAATTCAAAATGAATCAAAGTATTTCACAAGGCTGAAAACTATTTGGGGGAGGTACTTGCCAGGATTCAGCCGCACCGATATGGCTATATATATTTTCGCTTCAGTGAAAGCGTGATAGACTTTGCGAAAGTCCATGTTGTGATAGGACAGTGGGCAGAAGTAAAAACAAAGGATACCGAATGACAGTTTGCTTTTAGAACGTTTTCTGCTTCATTTCAAATTGATGTAGCGATTCTTTATAGAAAAATACAGATGACTCGACTCAAGAAGTACCTTGCGTAGCAATAAATGTTTTGCGCATTAAGGACTGGTGAGGTAAAACGCCGAGGGCTTAACTATATTAGGTATACTTAAAACCAATTAATCATTCAGCGGTGTGAACTTAAAGGTAATATTACGCCAGCTATCAAAGCTCGAAAGAAATTGACAAAATCCAGTTCAATAAAGCACTGTCCGTGGTGCCGCACTGATTAAAGACATGGGATAAGTTTTTTTTTTTTTTTTTGAGTCTCTGGTTACGCGAGAGAACTTGGAGAAATATAATGTAAAATATGATAATAAAGGGATAATGAGATTGACATCAAGTATACAAACAAATGAACTGTTAATATAAATATTGTAAACTAAGTTTCTACGCACTGCACTCTAATGTCCAAAGTTCCAACACCAAATCTCTTACTCATTTACAAAAAAAAAGTGACGCATGTAAGCGTCGTCCTCATAGTTTAATAGCATCCGCAGTCAATTTCGAAGGAATTGCAGCTCCGAAGGAGACATTCGAATTGCTTCTGATGTGCATGGTCCCCTTTACCTGGAAGTCTTGCGTAAAATTTAACGCCCTCGCGTTCGGACGAAAGGTACCTAAAAACAAAAATGAAAAAAAGAACGGGGGGGGGGGGGGGGGGGTCGTAAGATTTGGGTCGCACATACCAGAGCATAACGAGCTAGACATTTTCATACCAAATGTTGGTATACCTTTCAATTCTTTATATGTCCATGTTCGTATTTTACCCCTTTTTCATATTTAATTTTTCTTTCAATCGGCAGTTTCCCGTTGTTTCCTCTAAAAAAAAACTCCTCAACTTTACTACCTTCCCTCACCAGAAAAAGAATAATAATAATAAAACGAATAAACCTGCGTCACATTTGATTATTATCACGGGTGACTTGAGCAACGGATCGCTTTATTTGTAACGTTTTGTGCCCCCTTGAGTTCGGTACACATAGGGTGCTGCGTATTGAACAGGCCCCGTAGAATTGCGTTTATACGAGTAGAAACGCCAGACGACTGCTCAGACGCCAAACGCTGTCCGGCGTCCGAGTAGTGTTCGAAGAGTGAGTATAGACGAAGGCCATCTAGCTCTAGGTCTACCCACTATAATAGGGAGTTTTAGTAGACCGTGTTTCCCGCTCCGCTAGCCCTCCGCTACGAAGAAACCGCCACTGCGCCTGCGCGCCGATGGCCTTGGCTGTAGAGTTCCGGGTAGCGGAGGGGCTGAGCGGAGCGGGAAACACGGTCTACTAAAACTCGCTAATCATTCCAAGCAGAGCTCGGCGTTCTGACCGTGCCCTCTCGTCTCCTCCAGTATTTACCCGTATATTGAAACACGTCCGTCCGTCTCTTTTTGTCCCCTACTTGTTTGAACTTTTCTTTCCTCAGTCCGACACTTTATGAGTTGACATATTTCTTCAGTTCGCATCCCGTGGCCCTTCGGCTTGTATCATCGTTCTCCCGCGCTCGATCTTTCTCAGGTAGGAGTGATGGTCGTGGCGGAACTCGCGTTTTTCATCGCTCCGAAACAACTTTGGATCCGTGTTGCGCAACTTGCATCGAACCCAAAGCAACCGGGTGGCCCACTTTCCGGGCATGAGGCTGTTATCGGGATATAGCTTTCTCACACATGTCAGCTGTTTCAAACGCAACCAGAAAATATACAAAGGATACGCGCGGTTATGCTTGCGACTAATCGGTACGGAGGTTAGCGCTGCTTTAGGAAAAGACGCAGAGTGAGAGAAAAAAAAAAAGAAATGCCTGGAAAGATTGGCGATTGTTATTATCTGTCCCCCTTTTCTTTTTTACTATTTTTTTTATACTACTGAAACGTGTCGTGTAGTGCACTTTATTATTGTTATTTTTTTCCGTAAGCAGTGTTCTTGGGGTAAACTAAACCGTGCTTCCGGGATACGTTGATAAGACGCGTTGCGTTTTAGATATCGTAGCCACGCGGAAAACATTCCACCGCGCGTCCGGTAAAGATTATTCGAACAATCTGGCCTTTGCATTTGCGTGTTTATCGTCACAGGATTCCAACAGCAAGCTACGCGAAGAAAAGGAAAAGACGCTGCTACTGTTTTCTATAAGAGCTTTTCTCTGTACTGTGCCCTCACGCCACCTATCAGGAGCAACAAAAATATGAGAGGAGTAGAGCACTTTTTAAGGAGATAAGGCAAACACATGATGAAATCACCATTTGTTCTATTCTGTATGTGCGCTCGCGTTGGTAGACGCGGTGCACCTGACAAGCGTCGCGGGTCTCGCCGTCACCCTTTTGCCGGAGCAGGTGGCGATCCACAAAAATGCCGCGGGCTCGAGAGGCGCCTTGCGTCGCTCAATACATTCAATACCAAATATCCTGCGGAAAGACACCGTGTTTGTTTTTGTTGACCGGGAGTCCACTATGGCTTCGAAAGCCCTTGGTGGTATACCTGTTTAACTTAAACGTGCGCGCTTTTCTTTTTTTTTTTTTTACTCGTTTGTTTGGAATGGTGCAATAAACTTATGTGCCGTCGTGCGATTCGTAGCATAGTTTCTTAAAATGCGCTTCATGTCGACTAAGTCTTTTTTACCTGTAATTAAAAGGTATACACATATTCATATTCCTTTTTTTTTTTTTTTCTTTTCTTTCGTGGCCATGTTTCAGACAGACTAGAACTATTCCCGTTTGAAGCCACGAGACTGACAGGCTCTTATTGAGACGTTTTGTACGAATAATGAATTAAAACAAGTATATATGTGTGTGTTTGTCGTGTATCCATAAACCAGTGAACTATGCTTTTTTTATGGACTGAAGTGCGCCATGTGGAAAACTGGAATGAATCGTGTGTCATGCGAATTTCGCAATCACAAATATTTTGAATGCGACTTTGTACGAAGTTCCTACTGTTGCAAACGTGCCATAAAAAGCGTCATGGCAGATGAGTCTCACTGTAAGACTGTGGATATCATTATTTGTGTTATTGCATGCGTGAATGTGTTTTGGAATAAACGTGTACATCTGCCGACTCTGCATATCTGATTCGACTTTTCCTTCGGAAGACCCGCCGTCGCGAGAAGCGCACCTGCACCTTGACGCCTATGCGCCGCGGTGCGTGATCACGCATCTGCTGCGGCGTCGCTGATCATTTTGGAATGTTGAATTCCTTCTTGGAATGATCCACAAATTGTCCGACCCTGTCATGGCTGGAGTGACTGAGAGTGTAACAAATGCAGGGCGTGGCGAGTCCCTATCGAGCATCTCATTATCGCTCTTCAACCAATCAGGTTGCAGCATGAACCGACAAGAACGAAGTCAGCAGCAGTATTAGCATAATAAGCCAGTCCCTACACGTGTTAAGCCATCGATGACTATTAGCCCCGAGAAGTTCGCGTGGCGCCCCCTTATGGCAAACCGAGGTGACGTCACGGCGAGGAGAGGATTTTTCCCCGACTCGCCCCGCTCTGTGACGACGCTAGCTGTCGGCACGCTCCTTCCTATTTAATTTTTTTTGGCGTGTTTTTCGTAGGAAGTGTAATATTTTATATGTGCCTTTATTGATGTATAACCTGTAGCTACAGGCGAAACACAACTAACATTTTAAGCATGGTCAACAGGGCAGGCGACGCATGGTCAACAGGGCAGGCGACGCATATATGAAAATAAAGAAATCTGGCCACAATTGCAGGAGCATCACTATAGATTTACATCTCGCATAATAAATCCTGCTGATGGTCTGAATGAATTGGCAGGTTACGTATCCTATTTTGTTTTGTATATCTGTTTTTAAACAAGATCGCCGAAGCAGAAAAGCTGCATGCTGCTCGATCAACATGCTAAATACAGTCTGGGCCATGGGGAGAGAATCACAAGTAAGACAGCGTAAGTGCAGCGGCAAAGTAAAAAAAAAAAAAAAAAAACAAGGAACATTTATTATATACATTGCTCGCATTTGACCTTTGCTAGATTCGGATAGTATTTCAACGGACTAGACGGGTGGTATCTGGGTGCTTGTTTATATCAACCCTCAAGTAATGTATAACAAACGTAAGCGAAGGTGTCTAGCTCGTCATTAGTCCCTTGAGCCCTAAAATTGAGATTTTGCTTAAATCGAATTGTCCTGAAACTAAAGTACCAGAAGCTTTTCTCACGCAGACTGTAGCCCTTCACAGGTTCCACATTTTTTGCTACTAGTGCTGCATCTATCACTGGACAGACGTTCGAATGCTTGCTTTTACTCCTGCTTTCCTCTGTTGCCAGAGAGTTCAGCTGTAGGGAGTTCGGAGGCTGAGGAAGCTTTTGGAGACCTGCAGCAGTGTCTCTTTTAATTGGAAATGATAATTCAGACTAAACGGTGTATTTTCCGAATACCCAAGACTGGAATGAAAATGTCAGGAAAAAGTATAAACGTTTCAAATTACGGCACAACTGCTGTGCATATTTTGGGCAGTTCAATGCGTATCATACAGGCAACTGGGGGCAATTCGGCCGTTTTTGCTGTTACCAAACAAACTAATTTCCAGCAATTGTGCATCTTCTAAGAAATATGCCTGCACACGTGTATAAACTATATAATTAATTCACGAAGAAGCTATATTTATGTAAAACAACCCTGGTCTACAAGCACTTCAAAGATAATCAGATACAGGGCCTTTAAAACATCTGCGAACCAGCGCATGCAGAGTGGCAGTGCAAAGTCGGGGTCGCGAGCTAATTTGCCGACCACCCAAAGGCCCATGATATAAATGCCACTTCAAATGCCTTGAAAGCGGGATGTAATATCGTCCTAAATCATGAACATGCAAGGAAGAGGATTCCAGCGTCTGAAACACTTGCGCCACCGCTTCACCGATCCCTCGCAAAATTGCCTTGTGTCGTGTGGACGGACGGGAAGGTTCATCGGCGGAATAGCCTCCGCCGATAGCTTTCGGGATTTGTAACCGAATTTTAAAGGTAAAAGGGACAAGCAGGCATATAAAATGTACGGAGGCACGTCAATATCGGCCTAACTCAACGTCTTGTACACCGGGTAAACGAAGTCCAGCTCCTCGAAGAGCTTGCGGAACACAACGCCAAACCAGGAAACCGGTGCTGGGAAGGGAGCGGATGCGAGATCGCGGAGCGGATTCATCCCCCTGACGTCACGGCACACCTCACCCAATCAGGGCGCGGCGACCGCAGCGACGCTTTTGTTCGCTCTCGGGGCTAATAGTGACCCGACCTTACTGATTAGTATTCCGTTGGGTGTCACGTTCAGGCTGGGTTTAAGGAATCCCGGAGAAAAGCTCACCGCAAAACCGGCGGATGCGGAGAAAAGCTCACTGATTTTTCTTTTTCTTTTTTTATGGAGGCTGTTGATCATGCGTAACACATATCAATTTATTATCATTAAAATTCGTCAGCTTTATAAACATTTTTGTATTATTTGTTAAGCTTATTGGGTATAATGCTCCCAACATAATAATGGCGGGCGGGTGTTTTCTGTGGCTTACTGTATAGCAACGAAAGGCCTAACTGAAGACTTAATGAACTTGAAGGGCAGGAAAAAGTTCGAAAACTTGATAATGTCTGCCTAAAACCTAAAAATCAAAACTGTAAATGCAGAAAATCCGAAAGTGCATGCTCAACAACCCTGGTGCCTGAAATTCTCTTCGAAGCTTTTGCTAACCTTTGAAAGCAGGATAAAACACTCAGTGGGATATCGAGACTTAACTCTTTCTTCCACGAACATGCACGTTTTCTAGGCGTTCGTGCTGGTGTTTCCACACGTTGCTTTTGCGTGATAGTGCCCTTCTACAGTGAGCCACCCATGACCTTCAGAGCTGCACACTGGCACTGTTGTTACTCGTGACCTATATAACAAGTAGTCTTCTGTAAGGTAATGAATAGGGCGACTTGGTGAAGGTTATACATGATGAAAACCGCTTAAATGGCGACGATTGAGTGAAGACAACAAACACGACAGGACGAAGCTGTTCTCGCTACTAAAGTTTTGTTATTTGAATTAACAAAAAGAAAACAGCGTACCCGACACTGATTACATCAACAAACACTTACTTATCTATTAGGCACTACACAATATTTGGAGCTGAAACCGTTCACACACCGCTATTCATATTAGGTCGCAAAGAGCAAACCTTTTCTGTTTGACAGAGCTACCGACGACGCCACCCTCAGTTGTCAATATATATATATATTTTTTTACCGGTGTACGATGTTCTGATTTTATGCTTATATATATATATATAAAAAGAACACATGTTTAATGAAGTGACGAATGCGAATGGTGTTAAATTGCCACGTTGGACGCAGAATCCGTTATCAGTTAAAAAAAAATCGGTGAGCTTTCCTCCGCATCCGCTCAAAGGTCGGTGAGCTTTTCTCCTCATGTGCCGCTTTTGCGGTGAGCTTTTCTCCGGTGATCTTATCTTCGGTGAGCTTTTCTCCGCCGCTCGGGTTCAAGTAACAAGATTACGAGTACGTTAGCCACCCAATTCGTTGGGAAATACGTTGCTGGATTTTACTTCTTTCTGTCAACCCTCGCTTCCTGGAACTGAATCGATCTTCACGTGAAAACCAACGTCAAACTAAACTTCTAACCTCGTTATTAATACGGAACAAAATACCGAGCGTACGTGATACGTGACTGCGTATCACAAATTCATAGTCGGGTCCATGCTAATGTTTATTCACCTTCACGCGAGTCGAAATACCAAGAAAAGTTCCAAGGACTGAGGACCAAAATGTGGTCCTCGGGGCCAAATGCCAAAGACGCGATCACGAGCCGACGGGTTACCACGCGTGAAACAAGAGCCGCCAGGCGCCGTAAACCGGATGACGGACGAACGGTGTCAGTAGTTGGCTCGCCTCGGTAGGCGGACCTATCGGGTGCACATGTGGCACAAGCGACGGATAAAACTCCCCAACAATAGGATGAAGGTCTTACGCAACCAGATTAAGCAAAGAGAGGTCGGGGCCTTCGCGGTCATCGCCTTGGTTTCCACTTTGCGCGTCGCAGACGTTCAAGACGCCTGGATCTCTTCCTCGACGCTGCCACGCGGCGATGGGGTTGAATTTCGACACGGCCCATCGTCACTTGACGCGTGCCACGCTAGCGTTCTTCCGGTCGCTTCAACGATGGTACTCAACTCGCCGACGACGTTGCCAACACACCGGAAAGCACAACATCGAGGTCATTAAACTGGTTAGACAACCTATAACCACAGCACGAGACTTCAATTCCACTGGGATTTTGTGTTCAAGGTGCGTATGCTTTCCTTCGTTGTTTTTCCCTGGCAGCCTCCAGCCCTCACGTTCAGCGCTGATTGCGTGGTGCAACATGTGTGAGAGGCGTACCGCTTGTTGAGCGAGACGATGGCGAAGAACGCGAGGTGAGAGGTCATCTATAAAGTAAAAAGTCACTGGGGCATTCTAAGAAGCGGCGCTTGCCTTGTTCTTACGTTCTTGGGCGTTCTTGTTGGCTGATGCCACGGTCTCATTGGCTTTGGGGAGATCATGAGACGGCTCGCAACCTCTGTGCTCAAAATGATTCGCTTTATACCCTGCTGGAATCTATGCGACAGCGATTTGGCTCTTCTTGGTACAGCGCGTGTGGTGAAACCCTCTGAGCCTCAGATGCGCGGTCGGGCTCCACTCGAAGCAATAAAAACAAAATGCCGTCGCTCGACGAGTTCATAAGTGCTGCCGCCCATGCTCGACACATTTACTGTTTAAAAGCGAAACGCTATCTACCATGAATCTCACCAAATCTCTCCTTAGACAATGTGGTGTTCACGAATTATTTTTGTTTTACTAATAAAGTGCGATATCCCATTCCCACGCAAATAAACTAACAATAGAAAAGCAAAAGGGTTGATAACTGGGCTAGTTGGTAGTTAGACATTTGAACGGTATTAGCGCACACGTATGAGGAAGAGAGAAGAGACAAAAAAGGGATCTTGACGATGTTCTTCCTTTACTTCATCTTTGTAAATACAGTTGTTAGTAGCGCTCTTTTCTGTCTCTTCT